CCTCCAAAAGTCGATCGTAGACCCGAGGGTAGTGAGTGGCCAGCTTGGCCATGTTGCAGACATAAGCCACCGGACCGCGCTCAACCAAGTCGTGCAGGCCAAAGCCCCCGGTGTTGGCCCGTGTGAAGAGGCGAGCCTCAAGGAGCTGTTCCAGCGTAACGTCATGACCTTCAGCTCCAGCTGGTGCAGACAGGTTTACCTTGGCAAAAAAGGCTTTGACAAAGGTGTCCTTGCAAGCACGGTTCAAGAGCTCGGACAAGCCCGACGTGAGACTTGGGGGCAGCGTGTAGAGGTGGTTGATGAGGCTAGGCACATACTGCATGGCCGTGAGGAGGGCCTGAAGCGAGACACCGGTCGTCAGCATGTCATTGAGCTTGCCAGCAATGTGCTTTGCCTTGTCGTTCAGCTGCTTCTTCATCCACTCGCGACGGCCAATCGGCGTTCCCAAGACCGTCATGCCCGTGTTGGCCGTCTCGCGCACGGCATCTGGCAATACAGACTTCATAGCAGTGATGGAAGCCGAATGGCGGCAAGGCATGTAGAAGCGGCTCTTACTGGGCTGCAGATGAAGGCCAGCAGACTCTGCACGAGCCTTGACAATCTCGACATCGGCCGCCACGTCCTCCGCGGGACCCATCAGTACAATGTCGTCGAGGTACTTGATGACCTTGCAGCGGTAGTCAGTGGTGGCGTCGAGGAGACCCAGGACCTCACAGGAGTACAGGGCAAAGAAGAAGGGCGATAGCTCGTTGCCCTGCACAATGCCTTGGCCAACATCAATGTCAATCACCTTGAAGAACTTGTCGACAATGCAGTGGGTAGTGGGTCGAGCATAGTGTCGTTCAAAGGCGCGCAAGAGGCCAGGAACCTTGTCGGCCACAATCTCGTGTAGCCGTGCTCGGTCGGTGTAGTTGAAGGCACTCTTGAAATCGAGGGAGATGTGTGACTGCCTTTTTATGTGTATCTTGTGTTTAAGATGGCCGTATCTCTGGTTATACTTGGTCGTTTTGTACGATTTTTGTTTCTATGTGCGTGATTCTTCGCGCTTGTACTTCTTGGCATGATAAAAGCCAGTGAATGTAACTTGTTCTCTTGTGTTGTTTTGCGTGACGTAGTGATTTTGATGTCGGGGTTGCACAGCTTTGCTTTCAGCTCTGAGGTTCAAACACCTAATTTATTTATTAACCAGAGATACGGCCATTTCAAACATTAGACACACAAAAAGGCAGTCACACATCACAAAAATAAGCCATCACAGCACGAACACAAAGAACACCACGG